AAAGATTGTTTCCTTGCTACGAATCCTCTCCATGTAAGGGTCTGCCAGGAAACAGGGTGAAGAGCAATTATTAAGTAGATCCCAGGACACACTGACTACACTGGGCTTCCACTATGAGAAAAACTCACATAACACACCTACGTGGTTAAAGACAAGCTGTATTTGGTGCCAAGGTTTTAAAAAGCACTATTTGATATTAAAAAGTGTTCTTCTCTGTAATAATGGCCTCTGTCTTCTGAATTTTCTTCTCGAGGTTTTCTAAACTTTCCTCGTCAGAACGAAGAAATCTGAAAGTCCTATCATGCCATTCTTTCTAGATTCTCTAGGTTGGAAACAGATAAAGGCACTTATTAGTCATTTCTCACAGCACACAATGCAATTCTTATCAAATCAATCTAATTTAAAGGTTTTACTTAGAAAAACAGATGATTTCCAATCTCTAATCAGTAATTTTTTTTAAAGATTTTATTTATTTTGAGAGACAGAATGAGATAGAGAGAGAGAGCATGAGAGGGGGGAGGGTCAGAGGGTGAAGCAGGCTCCCCGCTGAGCAGGGAGCCCGATGCGGGACTCGATCCCGGGACTCCAGGATCATGACCTGAGCCGAAGGCAGTGGCTTAACCAACTGAGCCACCCAGACGCCCCTCTAATCAGTAATTTTTAACTCTAAAACTAAAGCATTATATTTTCTTGTACAAAAATGGGCATTTATTTCTAGGTGAAAAAATCAGTACTATACATTCTTCTTTATTGGCCATTCAAATTTTAGTCACTACTGAAACAAAAGTATCCTTCTATTGGAAAAGTTGGTCCAGTGAAACTCAAAGGTCTTGAGTCTATGAAACTTTGGCATTGCCAACAGCATGTCCCTCGCTTTTTCTTTTTATCTATAGATACTTCTATTTCTTAAGAGATGGTGAAGCATTAGCACATTTCTAGTGCCAACATCCGTGGATGTAAAAATGCTGAACAATATTCATTCTCTATGTCGGTGGGGGAAAGGAGAACCATCTCGAGGGCTCGTATTTTCAGGGTAAAGGGAACATCAGTTAGCAGTCCTAAACCACATTTTACCATAAACAGCAACCACCTCTCACAGCCCCAGGGGAATCACAGGTGTCCAAGCTTCTCACTGTGGCTGCTTAGAGGTGAAGAATAGAACGCTGGAGAATGGTGCCTGTCACCCTGACCCCATGCTCTCCTGGGCATGAGAATTTCCCGCCACGGTGGCCCCTACAGCTCTCCTCAGGCTGCCAGAGAAAGTGGGTTTGCTGTCTTAGCTGTGCTAACAGCAAATGGAGGCTCAGCTGGAGTGTATCTCCCCAGTTAAGGAAGAGCCATTAACCAAGTGATGGAAGAGAAACACCAAATGGGATCTTCTTTGGACTTCCCTTTGAACTGATTCTTCACCCCGGGTACCAGCTAATGGCTACAGAACAAATCTCGCCATGAACACACCATGCCAGATCCTTTTGGAAACAGGAAGGGGCCACTCCAACCTTCCAGGGGCTTCCCAAGCCTCCCAGGCTAGGTCCTTGAAAAGCCACCTCCGGGTCAGCCCCCAGGGCATCCCGTCAGCCAAGGCCCCTGGTCGGCCTGCCCAGCCCAGCCTGTCTCCGCTCATGCACGCCCTCAGCTCATCGGTACCTGAGTGTCCAGCACCTTCCACTAGGGACGCGTGGATGGGTCTGAAAGACTCTTGGAAATGAGCAATGAATTCATGAATGCATGACTGAGTGAATCGATTACTGAATAGGCAGAAGTCCCTCCCACTGCCGAGAGAGGCCGAGTCAGCCCGTCTACAAAGGTGGGTGGGAGCGGGTGGGGAGAGGAGTGCTCTGACCCAAGCCAGCCGGCCACAGCGCTCACCCACTAAGCTCCGCTGCCCCCATCCTGTGTGCCTTCCAGGCGCTTGCTGCTGGGATGGATTTGCTCTCAATGGATGAGCAGAAATTGTAAGATTTAGACAAGCCCAGCTCACAAACTCTGTGCCCTGATCCAAAATGGGTTACTGGGGTGCCCAGGTGCATTCAGGCTTTTCCTGTGAGCTCTGAGGGGGCTGTCCATGTCGGGGTGCACAAGGCACCGGGTTATACACCTGACCCCCCACCCACCCGGCAACTGAGTGTGCTTCTCCTTTACCTTCCGCCCCTCCCTCCAGGGGCCACCCCCATCTGCAGGGTCATCTGGGGGAGCTGGAGCCTGCACTGTGCTGGCTCCCCTGCCCCACGACTCCTCTGAAATCACCACTGCCAAGGTCACAATGTAAGGGACAGTTCTGCAGCTGGCCGCACTGGGCAACGCCCATCCTTGTCCGCCCCCCACCCCCTGCCCTTCCTGGTGCCCTCTGTCCCAGGGTCACTCCTCCTCCTCCTCGTGCTCACCCCCCTCCTCAAAGCCTGGAGCTCCAGCTGCGCCCCCACCAGCCAGCACCCTCCTCACCCTGCCACATCCGGCACCACCTGGGGGGACTCCAGCCCAGGCTGCGCTCACTGGACAACTCCCCTGGGTCACCCCACAGGCCCACCAGCTCACGAGGCCTCCCCCCCCGCCACAGGTCACGTTCTGGGAGACAGCAGCACCCTTCGGGGCAGGCCTGGAAGCCTCTGTCGCCCACTCCTCACGTCCAGTTAGCCTCCCAAATCTGGGGCAGCCCTACAGCCTCGCCCTTCTTGGTCCGGACCTTTGCAGAAGTCTCATGCCTCAGGGGGGGAAGGGGGGTCCTTCCAACCAGAACCCACCACCCGCTTCCCTCTCTAAGCTCTTCTCCATTGTCACCAGACTCAACCCAAACTCCCCAGAGGCTCCCGTGCCCCTTCACCTCCACCACCTGTGGGGGGGCAGGCAGCCCAGGGGTGCCGTCCACCCGCCAATGTGCCCCGAGCACCACTGGGCGAGCAGGCACCACCCCAGGCCGGTGAACCAGCCCGCATCGCTGCGCTCCATGAACATCGCATACGGTGACTTCGGTGACTTCTCGGAGGGACGGAGGGGGGTAAGTGAAGCTGCCTTATGGGGAGGGCCCTTTACCAGAGGCCTCTCGGAGCAGGCGACATCCGGCAGCCGTGCAAAGGGGGCGGACTGTTCCAAAAGCACGAGTGCGAGTGCGGAGCCCGAAGTGTGTTTGGGGGGCAGGGAGCTCGGGCTGCTTGAAACCCACAGACCCACGTGGCTGTGTGGGGCCCAGAGGCCATGAAGGTGTGGGTGAGAAGCCTTTGGAAAGTGACTCGATTTATCGTTTTAAAGGACAAGGGGCTGCGGGGGGTGGGCTGGGGCAGGAGGAAGCGGGGCCCCAGGAATGGAGGGAAGGACAGGAGGTGGGATGGATTAAGGGGGTGTGGGGGGAGGAAAGGGGCATCATCAGGGGTCACCCACGTCTCTGTCCTGACCTCATGGGGAGCTGGTGATGCAGTTTACAGAAGGGGGAAACTGAGGAACGAAATGTATGGGAAGGATGTGGATTTCTGTTGGGACATTTTCAGCCTGGCGTGTGACATCCCAGTGGAAAGGTCAAGTGGGCAGTGTGATATCAGAGTCTGGAGCTGGGAAGCAAGGCCAGCTCTGTGACAGGACGGCAGTCCCTGCGGGAGGGGCCCAGACAGAGGGCCAAAAGGGCTGATTTGCAGAGGTGGGGCAGAGGGAGGGAGGGAAGGGGGAGACCAACGGGAGTGTGTGTAGGAAAGCATGATGGAAGCTGCCGGCGGCCTCGGCGGCCTCAGAGTCAGTGGGACAGGTTGGGTCTGGAGTCAAATAGGGAATGAGTCTGGGGTGAGGGACAGGACGGCGTCTATGCATCCCCCACTGTCCCGAACCCAAGATGGGGCAAGAGCTCTGATGCTGACACACAAGGAGCTTGCCTGTGTCCCGGCGAGGTGGGATGGGGCCAGGAGGAAGCTGGTGGTGAGGAAGGGGGCAGGCACAGTGGGGGCTCAGGTGGGCTGGGGACCAGGTCAGACTCAGGAGGGCGGCAGGTCAGGTGGGGGCGTGATGCCGGTCCCCTCCTATGGCTCACCACTGGTGGGCAGCTGCGGGTGGTACTGGAGGAATCAGGAAAGAGAAGGGTGGCGCCCTGGAAACGGGGAGCCAGGCCACAGGGCAAGGGGCCGGTGAGCGTGGCTGCGGAGGAGGGGAAGGTGAGCGCCTGCTGGGACATTGGCGAGGGGAGGGCTGAGTCCCCAAGAACTGTGGGTGTTGGGGGTGTCGGGGCATGAAGAGAGTGTTCCCCGGGAGGAGGAGGGCAAGTCAGTGGATGGCACACAGAGGAGAGGGAAGACCGGCGGGGGGAGGGCAGGGATTCTGAAGGAGGGAGGACAGAACACGGTCTGGGAGGGACGAGGCGGCGGAGCCGAGGAGAGATGGCCACGGTGGCAGCAGGGAGTCCCGGGGCTGGCCCTGGTGCCCCAGGCACGGATGGTGTGGGAGGGCAGGAGGGACCCAAGCCTGGCGGTGATGACAAGCCACGTGTCCCGCCTCTCCCCCCCCCACCCGCCGTCCCGTTCTCACGGCCCTCCACCCTGCCTGCTGGCGGGGTCTGTGAGTCCGGTGTCTGTCCGCTCCCAGGACGAGCAGGACGGGGCACAGGAGCCAGCACCCGATAAACATTCAGGGAACAAAGGCATGACATCACACCCTCTACCTGCCGCGTCGCTGAGACGCGCCTTCTATCTTCCTCTTCGACATGCTGTGATTTTAAACCACTGGACACACTGGACTGAAGAATCAAGATCAATTCTGATGAACTTTTCTTAGAGACGGGATAAGGAGAACCCGACTTCAGTCCAGCACTGCCCTGAACCACGCGTGAAGAAAAGCTGCCTCCTGAGGTTCAGCTTTCTTTAGCACGGCTTGGGGCCATCTTGGGGACATCTGGAGCGCAATGTGTGTTGCTCTCCCTCCTGGCAAAGGCCGGATTCCCCGGAGCAAAGGTACCCGAGAGGAGAGAGAGAAAGACCTTCTCTAGCGGTCCGTGCACTGGAATTCCAGGGAGGGCTCATACTTACACAGTGTCCTTTAAAGTGGCGAGATAGGATTCCGTGTCCACTTCAGGGATGTCCGAGTCCATTTTGGACAAGTAACGGTAGACGTAGGAGAACGTCTCAAACGGGATGCGCGCAGGCCCGCCCTCGGGGTCCACGGTGAGGATCTCACACAGGTGCTTCATTGAACTGTTCAGTGACTAGAAACACCACAAACCAGGGGAGGAAACAATTACTACCTGGAATCGCTACAGTGAAAGCAAGACAGCAGTAGGATCAGCGCTTGAGTATATTTTACAGAAATTCTCCAGCAAGTATGAAGTATTTCAATCGAAATGAAGAACTAGGTGAATTTACACTTGCCATAAACAAAGAAATAAAAAGGAAAGGTTTGATCAAGAGCCTGAAAAGAATTTTAATCCACAGATTTTATATTAAAACGGGAATGAGGAAGCGTCAGTCTCCTTAAAGCTGGGCCCAAAGCCAGCCCAGAACCCCCCAGCCCCTTCAGCGCCATGACACACCCGGGGACAGAGCTGTCAGTCACCAACGAGAAGTGCCATCTGGGGGGGGGGGGTTTAGGACAGATGGCCTCGTGAGCTGTCCTGATGCCCACCTGTGATCAGCCTCCATGCAGGCTCCACACAGGGCTAGCCCTGCTCTGGGCCTTGTCTCGGTTCCAGAAAGTACCAGACCTTTCTCCCCTGCACACTGTGCATCTCGCTCATGCTCCTTCTCTCTGTCTGGGTCAGTCACCCCACCTACCCTGGCCGACACCTTGACTTTCAGCCTGAGCGCCAGTCCCTGGAGAAGCCATCCCACTCCTACAAGGCACATGCTCAGAGCATGCAGACCCTCCCTCCGAGCCAGGAGGGCAGAAGGATTGTATCCAATCCCTGGTGATCTCACAAGAGCCTGCAGACTTGCAATCAGCCACGGCGGAAACACTGACACCTCATTCACGGGCTCATGCTGCAAGTCAGGACCCTTTGCCCGGAAGAGAGCAGGCTGTTGACACTTAGGGGGCTGCACTTAGGAGGGAAGAGCAAGGAAAACACAGGTGGGACAGGCACAGAGGAAAGCTTCCCAAGTGGGGAGAGTCACACCCAGACCTGCTTGACCGGGACCGTGACTGTGTGCAGGGAACGAACCTGACACCCTTAGGGACACACAAATGGCTGGAGCCCCGTTTCCTATCCCGACATGTCTGTGGGTCGGGATTATGGGCACTGTTTAGCTGGGTCATCCAAGGCTCCAATCGGGGTGGTGGCCAGGGTTTGGGCCTCCTCCAGAGGCTCGACTGGTGATGGACCTGCTCCCACCCTCACCGAATTTGCCGGCAGCTGCCAGACACACGGCAGGGCGCTTCCCCAGGAGCTCGGCCAGCTTCTCACAGTCATATTGGGGAAAATCCCTTCTGCTTCGGCAGGGAGAGGGGGAAAAGGACTAAAACGAAGTCCAGGGGCCCAGAGAGGCTGGGTGGCTGGCCCGAGGTAAGCCCGCAGGACCGCCACACCCCAGCACCTCGAAGAGCACCAGGCTGGCTCGCAGGGTGAGCTGCCCTGTCGGGAGGGCGGGGGGGGCGGCTGCCTGATCAGCCCGGAGCTCCCCCCATCACCATAGCTGGGGCTTGGCGCATCTGGAAAACCCCTTCCCACACTCCCCGGGACCCCTGGCCGTGGCCATGGCATGATGCCGGGGTGGATGACACAGCTCTGACGTTAGTCTAACCCCGGGGCAAAATGATGCTCCGACGGGAGAAGCGACCATGTTCTGTCTGCCCAGCAGGTGCTTTCTCCGGGGTCACCGCCCACGCCCCTTCCTCTCAGTACTGGCCTTGAGAGGACTTGGTGAAAATAGAGCTGCACGTTTTATGATCCACGTTCCTCGCTTGAAACTTTTCCGAGACGTGCAGTTATGTTAGCTTTTGCTTTTCCGTCCGTCACAAGCGAGAGAGAGTCATTGCTGAGCCTCAGGAAGGAGGTCGGGGAAGGAGGCGGCTGGCGCGCAGCAAGCAGATGAGGTCTGTGAAACCGAGCTGCAAAGGCTTCCAAGGCAGAGGTATTTAAGGAAAACATGCATCAAAGCAGCCCAGCGTCACTGCCTTCTGCAAAGGCCCGATGACGTTACCGGGGCGAACGTTCCTGACAACGAGATGAGATGTGCGGCAATTTGTATATCCAGAAGGATTCCTAAAGCAACTGGCTTGGCTTTGCCGCCGCGAGCCTGTTTCCCGGACCCAGACTCCTCAGCTCCCAAGGGCTGTCGCCAGGGAGGCCACATGCTCACCAGCCAGGAGACCCTCCGGGCAGGTGCCCCTCCTCCAGCCTCCTGCCCCGGCCCCCCGACCCCCCCCCCCCCCCGTCCTGGCCACAAGCTGTCCTGGGAGGTGGGGCTGCCAAGCTGCACTTGGTCTTGGCTAAGCGTCTCAGGCTAGACCGGCGTGTGAGATTGAGGCGGAGACGTGAGAGGAAAACAGGCCTGCAGACACCTGTTTCCTGAGCATCTCGAGGGTGCCAGCTCCGTGGGATCTCTGTTTCAGAATTTTAGCTGCTCTTGTGATGACACACAGAGCCAGCTCACGCCTCCCCCAGTGCCCTTCCAGCTCGCCGGGACGTGACAATCTGCACGACATCTTGCAGGGACCCTTTTGTCCAGAAGAAGAGGGGGCCTGGCTCCGAGGTGTGGTCTGAGGGCACTCAAGAGGGACAGCTCAGCGTTGCAAGCAGGGTTCCCACCCCAAAGTGCACTTTTTGTTTTTTATAAAATATTTTATTTTTATTTATTTGACAGAGAGAGACACAGCGAGAGAGGGAACACGAGCAGGGGGAGTGGGAGAGGGAGAAGCAGGCTTCCCGTTGAGCAGGGAGCCCGATGCAGGGCTCAATCCCAGGGCCCTGGGATCACGACCTGAGCCGAAGGCAGTCACCCAACCAACTGAGCCACCCAGGCGCCCCCCAAAGTCCACTTTTAAAAAGCCGGAGGTCCTTTGCACCTACTTCCTCACCCTCCCAGGTCTTTTCTCATGTAAAACACGGTTCTGTTCATGGACTAGTGGCAGGGGAGGGTGGGAGACAGGTATCCCCCAGCTGGCTGGGACACGGTCCTCCAGAGAAGCCAGTTCGTTCCAGTGTCACCATCCAGGGGAGGATGCAGGGCCCCCACGTGTGAGCAGTGACCAGGCCAGCGGAGACATGGGGGTGGAGTGCACCCCAACTCTCTTCTCAGCAGTGGGGCGACTGGTGCTGGGGGCCCAGGGGCAGCCTTCCCACTTCAGGGGGCGGCTACCAAGCCAGTGTGCGGCTGGAGGCTCCCACCCAGGGGGGTGGCTGTATCTTTCCGTGGCCACAGCGAAAAAGGAGTGTTCATGGTCACCCCAGAATGGGCTTAGAGGCCTAGCTGGGGGAGCTGACTGGAAAGCAGGAGGGGAGCGAGCCGGGACACTGCCTCTACCACTGGGCCCCCAGGCACCGGGATGGGGCGCAAGCACCGCTGTGCTGGGAGGATGCTCTACGAATGCCAAGGTGAGGGCCGTTAGGAGGCTGACATTGAGAGCTTTTCAGGGTGAGAACCATTTTCGGACAGCAAATGATATTAAGGATCATCCTTAGGAGCTGTTATTCTCTGAGACAGGAAATGGCAGACTCTCATTCGGTGTCCCAGCCTGTAGGCGGCACACATCTGGGGCTACAGCTTCTCTAGCGAGGGGCCCTCCCCCCACCCGTTCGGGGTCTGCGTTCAAATCCTGCTCAACCACTTCCAATCTGAGTCACTGAGCTGCAGTGAGGTTCCCAGAACAGGCCCTAAGTCAGAGGGGCGCTGGGGGGATTAAGGAGAACACAGACAAAGGCTCCGAATGTTCCAGCCCATGATGAGAACTCTAGGCGTGAGGCCCGTTCACAAGCAATGTGTTTGGACCGAAGACTGTTTGCACACGTGCACATTTGCCCCTGGACACAGGGACACGTTCTTGTGATGAACAAAGTCCGGTGCTTCTCAGAGCCTCACAGAGTTGGGCTGGTGGTTTGTCATCATGGACTTTCTCAGCCAGTGGGGGGGTGCGGGGATGGGGGACTTCCTTCTCAGTTGTTTTATGTAATAAAAAAGATCTTCGTGCTTAAAAAACAAAGCAGAGGATTTTGATCCACGGCTTTAATGCTTAGGATCATTGCCAGTGCTGTAGAGATGTAAAGATAAAGGTCACAACATAAAATGTTATCATTCAGCCAGGCAAGGATCTGCACCGCATGATCTGCCCAGGGCAGCCCCACTGACCCTTCGCCCCATTCCTAGCTCCCAACACCATAAGCAGAGCAGTGCTCGGTGCTCCAGGGCAGGACAGTCGGCTCCAGGGGGTCGGGTCGCCTGCTTACCGTGTTCACTCCCGAATCTTCAACTCTCAGAACTGGACTTGGCACAAAGCAGTGCGCAACAAACATTTGGGAAGGAAGGGAGGGAGGAAGGGAGGATACAGATGACTCTGAAATGTAAGCAGAGGTTCTAGTCTTTGCAGAGACCTTAAGCTGGGTTCATCTGACCAGTGACTGTGACGAGAAATTTAAGAGCATGGAGAATGCATCTGCTGTCGGCCATGCAGAGGCCAGGGATGAAGGAAGCAGAAACAGAGCGTATTGTGTTGACAGAGCAACTAGGTTCCAGTGTAACAGAAATCCTACGTGGAAAAGGGGATAGGCAGCGATCCATTGTAAATTACTCATCCTGCATTTCACTTCTCCGTTTCCTCCTTTTCTGAAGGTTTTTTAAAAAGCATAAAGATAGGGGCACCTGGGTGGCTGGTCAGTTCAGCGTCCGACTCTTGATTTCGGCTCTGGTCAGTATCTCAGGGTCGTGAGATCGAGCCCCGCGTCCATGCTCAGTGGAAAGTTGGCTTCAGATTCTTTCCCTCTCTCTCTGCCCCTCCCCGCCCCTGCCGGGAACAACTGCATAAAGATGAATGCTAAGATGCCAGACTACATCAAAATTGTCACCTCGTCACCTCCATGTCACAGCTTTGTCTTGGTGTACCTCCAAGCTCCCCCAGCCAACGTGGGTACACAGTGGCTTCTCCCCATCTGCGCCTGGCCGCCCCAGGGCTGTTTGCACTAGGGGCAGGAGTGGGGGGTAGGCCACGGCAGAGCTGACACCCTCACTTCTGACACCTCCCACTGACCCTTCCCCCAACCCTCCCCGCAACACAGACATGTGAACCAGAGGGGACCTTCCCGGACAGTCTGGCCTCAGAGTCCACAGCCCACAGCAGACACGACTATCGAGGTGGCCCAGCTAGGAGACAGGCCGGACCCCACACTGACCAGCAAGGGTGAGAAACAGTAGAGGAGGAAAGGAGAGACGCCGAAGCTTTCTTGTGCCTTCCCCAGTGTTCAGTCCAGAAGGTGACCAAATGTCTCCACCTAGTGTCCCACACGACACATGGACAAGAAACCCTCTCTTGCTCTGGCTTGGTTTTAAATCCTGCGCTTACTTTTCATGATTGGGGAAGTAAACCTTACAAAGATGGATCCCCACAATATGAAATATTCTTTCTCACCCTTGCTAAAATCTAAATTTCACAACTAAGTTTAAAGGCACAAACCATAAACATTAATTCTAATATTAGATATTCATTTTACAGTATTAAAATCTTGCTTTCACAGAGTTCCAGATAAACAAAGCGACGTGAAATTATCTTCAGTAAGTACATCTGTCTTTGTCCTTCCCACCCCAACACCCCACGCCCCTGGTTATGTCCTAGCCCCGCTCTGCTGCAGGACGGTCCCTGGCACAAATCAGCCCGGGGTGGCAGTCCTCTCTACCGCTGGCGGAAACACTGCCTTTGGGCACTTAGGTGACTCAGTATGCAGCAACCTTCCAGCATCTGGCTTTACTGGGACTTCAGCGGTTCTCACTAGGGCCATTACGAGAACCAGTAAATGGGGGTCTCTTCATGGAGTGGATATTACACAGCGGAGACAATGAATGACCTACAACAAACAGTCTGTGATGTTGCAGAGGGAGATGGAAATCTAATTGGGAATGAATACAAGTTCCAGAAGATTGCTAACCACAGAATTAGCTTTTCATAAAGTTAAAACCCACGAAAATTAAATACTGTATTTCTTGGGGTATGTATGTGGCCCACAGGAAGCAGGAGATTTGGGAGGGCGGTTGCCTCAGGCTGGGGAGGCAGGGGGACGGGATGGAGGAAGAGAGTGCAGGCAGTCACATCAGTGTGTCCGAGATCATGTAGGGTCCATGGGGGTTTCCTACACAAATTGACTTCTAAAAATTAACATCAGAGCTGAGTGTGCGCCACGAAGCGAGGACTGAATTATCCAGTCTCTGAGGTCCAAAGACGGAAGGGAGGGGCTAGGGGCGCCTGGGTGGCTCAGTCGTTAAGCGTCTGCCTTCAGCTCAGGTCATGGTCCCAGAGTCCTGGGATCAAGCCCCGCATCGGGCTCCCTGCTCCGCGGGAAGCCTGCTTCTCCCTCTCCCACGCCCCCTGCTTGTGTTTCCTCTCTCACTGTGTCTCTCTGTCAAATAAATAAATAAAATCTTAAAAAGGGGGGGGAGGGGTGAGAAAAGGGCTCAGCTCTGCAGTGGAGGGAGCCCCTTCTTCACACATATAAAATGGTAACACTCCCTTCCCTGGACCCCAGTGTCTCACACAGACACTCAAACACTGGAGCTGAAGAGGGGCTTCCAGATTCCCAAAGAAGTCCTGCCAAAAAAATTAACAAAACAGGAGACAACAAATGTTGGCGAGGATGTGGAGAAAGGGGAACCCTCTTACACTGTTGGTGGGAATGCAAGCTGGTGCAGCCACTCTGGAAAACAGTATGAAGGTTCCTCAAGATGTTAAAAATACAACTACTCTAGGGGCGCCTGGGTGGCTCAGTTGGTTAAGCTGCCTTCGGCTCAGGTCATGATCCTGGAGTCCCGGGATCGAGTCCCGCATCGGGCTCCCTGCTCGGCGGGGAGTCTGCTTCTCCCTCTGACCCTCCTCCCTCTCATGCTCTCTGTCTCTCATTCTCTCTCTCAAATAAATAAATAAAATCTTTAAAAAAAAAATACAACTACTCTATGACCCAGCAATTGCACTACTAGGTATTTACCCCAAAGACACAGATGTAGTGAAAAGAAGGGCCATATGCACCCCAATGTTCATAGCAGCAATGTCCGCAATAGCCAAACTGTGGAAGGAGCCGAGATGCCCTTCAACAGATGAAGGGATAAAGAAGATGTGGTTCATAAATACAATGGAATATTACTCAGCCATCAGAAAGGATGAATACCCAACTTTTACATCAACATGGATGGGACTGGAGGGGATTATGCTAAGTGAAGTAAGTCAAGCAGGGAGAGATAATTATCGTGGTTTCATCATATGTGGAACATAAGCAATAGCACGGAGGACCATAGGGGAAGGGAGGGAAATCTGAAGGGGGAGACATCAGAGAGGGAGACAAACCATGACAGACTACGGACTCCGAGGTCTCGGGGTGGGGGGAGATGGGGTAACAGGGTGATGGGCATTAAGGAGGTGTCACATGCAACTAATGAATCATTGCACACTACATCTGAGACTAATGATGTGCTAGACCGTGGCTAACTGAACATAATAAAAAAAGAAAGAAAGAAAGAAAGAAGTCCTGCCAAATCTTCACACTCCAGCCCTTCCCTTTCCACCCTTCCTTGGTTCAGAGACCCCTCACTTTGGGAATTGGAGGGTCATCTCTGTCTTCATTCCCAAGGTTCACACTTCAACACCGCCAAAGTTGCACCATATCTGTTAGCTACTAATCATATATTTTAACTCAAATGTAAAATAATTTTACGCCTCTTCCCATAGATGAGAACATAGTATCTGTTTACCAAATGATGTGCAGTTCAATATAAAGTCACCGATGCATTCTCTTCTAACACTTAAATGCATTGTCATAATATCTGTATGTTTTATCTACTGTTAACAATTTTAAAATTGAAGCATTCCCAAGTATTTAACTTCTGCAAATTAAAATAACTATAAGCCTGCGGGACGCCTGGGTGGCTCAGCTTGCTAAGCAGCTGCCTTTGGCTCAGGTCATGATCCCGGGGTCCTGGGATTGAGCCCCGCATTGGGCTCTTTGCTCAGCAGGGAGTCTGCTTTTCCCCCTTCCTCTGCTGCTTTTCTGCTCGCTCTCTCTCTCTCTCTCAAATAAATAAATAAAATCTTAAAAAAAAAAATGTAAGCCTAAAAATGCAACAGGAACTTGAAAAAGAATTGCTTCTCTCCAAGTTACTAAAGTAGTGAAAGTGTTTCTTTCGGTTACTGAAACACCAACATTACTTTTAAGCCAGGCCCCTGATTGCACAGAATTATTCATATGCTACTTGTAGGTACGTACCCCACCAAGCATGCTACATCCAAGCGCTAAAAATTTTATCCACTCCATTTTGTCTTCGCAAGGATCCAATTGCAACAACGCTCTGAAGTTCTCTATTGGCAGGCACAAAGTTTTCCATTTCTGCTCAAGATCTGCTAATTCCACATACTGCTTGTGGCCACACTGTAGAGAAAACACAGTATGATGAAATTCCTAAGTTTTTAAGTCTATAAGTATATATTTTAAGTTTTAGAAACCCGTGAAATAAGATAATGCTTATGAATATTTAAACATACCCCAAGCGCCCAACCGCATGCAGGGAAAAGATGAACTCTGGTTCACGACATGGTTAGCCCTGGGAAAGCAGGGTGGGAAGGTGTGCGGCGGGAGGAGCGCGGGCAGGGAGGGGGCAGCAAGCTGATATTGGCCTGTTTTACTTCTCAAAAAGAGAAAGGCCGGGGCGCCTGGGTGGCTCAGTTGGTTAAGCGGCTGCCTTCGGCTCAGGTCATGATCCTAGAGTCCCGGGATCGAGTCCCGCATCGGGCTCCCTGCTCGGCGGGGAGTCTGCTTCTCCCTCTGACCCTCCTCCCTCTCATGCTCTCTGTCTCTCATTCTCTCTTTCTCAAATAAATAAATAAATTCTTTTAAAAAAAAAAAGAGAAAGGCCTGAGACGCAAATACGGCATGATGTTACGACTGAGTAAAACGGGCATACACAGCCTGGGTATGGGATTCCCTGCTGTCTGTGCAAAACACTTCACAGCAAAAAATGAGCTTCAGTAAATAAAATAAAAACGTTTAAAATCCAACCCGCTAAAATAAGTCAATCAGAGAAAGACATGTATCATATGACCTCACTGATATGAGGAATTCTTAATCGCAGGAAACGAACTGAGGGTTGCTGGAATGGGGTGGGAGGGATGGGGTGACTGGGTGATAGACACTGGGGAGGGTATGTGCTCTGGTAAGCACTGTGAATTGTGCAAGACTGTTGAATCTCAGATCTGTACCTCTGAAACAAATACTGCAATATATGTTAAGAAAAAAAAAGAAGAAGAAGAAGAAGAATGTAGCAGGAGGGGAAGAATGAAGCGGGGGAAATCGGAGGGGTAGACGAACCATGAGAGACGATGGACTCTGAAAAACACACTGAGGGTTCTAGAGGGGAGGGGGTGGGAGGTTGGGTTAGCCTGGTGATGGGTATTGAGGAGGGCACGTTCTGCATGGAGCACTGGGTGTTATGCACAAACAATGAATCATGGAACACTACATCTAAAAATAATGATGTAATGTATGGGGATTAACATAACAATAAAAAAATTAAAAAAAAATCCAACCTGCTAAATGTGTTAACAGTTAAATGGAAGAAACCTTAAAAGTGAAAAGAAGGGCACCTGGGTGGCTCAGTTGGTTAAGCGACTGCCTTCGGCTCAGGTCATGATCCTGGAGTCCCGGGATTGAGTCCCACATCGGGCTCCCTGCTCAGCGGGGGGTCTGCTTCTCCCTCTGACCCTCTCCCCTCTCGTGCTCTCTGTCTCTCATTCTCTCTCTCAAATAAATAAATAAAATCTTTAAAAAAAAAAGTGAAAAGAAATTCCTTCCTTCCATTTTTTAAAATCATCTGTGAAAATTGGTAATGCTTGTATCTGTTAATAGCATTCTATGTGAAAAGTTCTGAGCAATTTTAGCATGTTTTTCCCCAAGTTACCCCTTCCGATGGTTATTCGTTAGAGAAAACCTTGGAATCATCCTATTTTCAGAAGTCAGTGTACCACAGAAGCATGGTATGTCAAATGTAGAATAGGGACAAATCACTTTAAAGACCAAGGTTATACCACTGAGGTCACTTTTACTAACACGACACGGTCATTAGGAACGCCAAGCCTGACTGGGTGATACCCTCCCGATTAACTGGTTTCTCTAAAAGCAACGTGGTGGGCGGGTGAGGACGGCCCTCGGTTCCTGGGCGAGGCCATGCCAGGAAGGATCTCGCCCCCGCCCAGGCTCTCTGGACCACACTGCCCACCAGACGCCAAAGGGCAGTCTGTTGTTCAGGGGAAGGTGGCAGCAGATTATTTCTTTAGCACGTACACAATTTTTACAAGCATATTTCAAGAAGAGACTTGCAGCCCCCATTCGGGAGTTGAATTTCCAGACTTTTAGTCCAGCAGCATCTAGTGTTTTAATTTGGTATTTAAAAGCAATTCTATGGGCGCCTGGGTGGCTCAGTTGGTTAAGCAACTGCCTTCAGCTCAGGTCGTGATCCTGGAGTCCCAGGATCGAGTCCCACATCGGGCTCCCCGCTCAGTGGGGAGTCTGCTTCTCCCTCTGACCCTCTCCCCTCTCATGCTCTCTCTCACTCTCTCTCAAATAAATAAATAAAATCTTAAAAAAAAATAAAGATAAAAATAAAAGCAATTCTATTCCACTTGCCTACCATCTAATCACGAATAGCTATTTGGGGTTCTTTAAACTAGAAAAAGGCCACTGAACACAGCAGATTCCTCCTCTGAAGAAATCTGGCAGGTGGGCACCGGGAAAGCTGGCCTCGCAAAGGTGAGCCGGCAAGTCTGCCACATGCCACGCAGCGGCCATGCTGTATCTCGTGAAGCTGACGGAGAGCAGAGACCCCCTCCTACCTGCTTGTGCAAAACTTTCAGGAGTCCTTGAGTCAGGCCTGTGTCTGTTTTCTGAGTGGCCACGGGTATCTCGATTCTGTCCTTGACAGGAAGTGGATCTCCTCTAGACAAAGCTGAAAAATACCTAACAGCAACAGACATCTTTGAAGACTCATCAGTACCCAGAAAACACTGGAATTCACGCGGTTTCTTAAACAAGCCATGAGCGTGACAGTGCCCAGGACACCTCCGGGGACACCAGAGTCCGAGGGCGGGGCTGCAGTCATGGCTCCTCCACTCCGATCCCCAACCTAACCCTCTCTGCCTCAGTTTCTCTGTCTGCGAAGCCAACAATGGCAGGCCCTGTCGTAGGGCTCCTAGGAGTAGTGAGCTCAAGCTGCAACAGGCTAGACATGCTGCTGGGCACCAGGCCATCGGGGGGCTCCTGAAACATGTGCTATTCTTATCAAGCACACGCTAGGAGGAGTCCTGACCTGCTGCCAAAGGAGGTGGGAGGGTTCAGGACCCAGGGTTCAGGACCCAGTGACCCAAGGGCAAGGTCATGGTCCAGTCATTCTACTTTGACAGTTAGTGTTTGGTCTTCCCTTCTCTTGGCCCTGCTGCTTTCCAAGGGGGTTGACTTCAACCATCTCTGTTCAACCCTACAGGGTCTCGGATCAGGGAAGTCACATGTCTGCTCCGCTGGGGACCAACCACTCCACTCCATGACGTCAGATGCCATGCCTCCCCCCTCCCCCTTCACTTTTGCTGCCTGGTATTTTCTTTAGTATTTTTTCCCCTTAATTGTTCCTTTCTGGGATGCAGATATTAGTGCTTATACTCGGGGCTGGGGGGGTATGGAAATAGCTTAGGGCAACAAGTCAGGAGGGGGCACACACCGGCTTCTGGCTGGTGGGGACCAGGAGAGGGTGCCAGGCGTGCTAGAGGTGGCCGGCTGCTGAAGCCACGTCATTCGCCACTCCAATGACTAACACAACAAAAAAGAAACAATATACTCAGGAAAACGAATAGTCTATCATCCACCAGGGCCACAGGCCATCATGTAAAAGATATGAATAATTAGAAACATCTCTGATTATGTAACAAAGATAGCTGTTGATAAATAGATACTTGACAGGCTAAAAGAAATGTTATACCTCATCCCCTTTTCTCTCCCCATCCACATTTTGTTGACTTAACAGTTGGAGGGAAAGTCAAAACAAGGGCAGCAATGTGGGAGACGAAGGTGAACAGGAAGATCTAAGGTGACAGGGAAGGGGCATGGGGGCATAGTTTTGCCATATTTTTCCTAATTAGGGTTTTCACTTATTCCGGGGACTTTATTCCTTCCTCCCCCTCACCGATCAAACCACAGCGTCTAAAGCAGTGGTTCCCAACAATTCTCCCACCCCCCTCCCCAGGAAGGCACTGGCAATTTCTGGAGACATTTTTGGTTGTCTCCAGAGGGGATGGATGGTGCCTCTAGTGGGTACAGGTCAGGATGCTGCTAAGGGTCCTATTACGCCCAGACACCCCCACACTGCCACCTTTCCCCCGTACACCCCCCCAAGCAATGATCCTGTCCAAAGTGTCAGGAGTGCCAAGGCTGAGAAAGCCTGCATTAGGGGCGAGCCCCCTGGTGCTAATCCCCTGGAGGCGGATGTGAGCGGGGACCAGTTCTCACTCCAGTCACATGCACGAGGCACTGGTGACAGACCCTAGCTGCGGCATGACTAGCGAGGCTGACTCATCTCCACCACCTGAAAGCCTCCTCTGTGAAGAGGTTAACCTGAATGCCTCCTGCCTTCTTCCACAGCAGGTACCTTCCTGTGATTCCTGGTTCTCTGCTTTGTCTTTAGCTTTTTTTTTTTTTTCTTCTTGTCACCGCCCCTTTGTTGGTATGCTAGTCTTCTTCCCGGAATGCCCTTGCCTTGTCTTAACCTCAAAGACCAATGTGCCCTCTTCTGAGCAACATCCCTCCCTAACAGATTCTCCTTTGTGACAGCTGGGACACATCGGAGCCCATTTCACATACACTGCTTAGTGAATAAAGCTTGCTTTTTCTCCTAAACCCCAAAATTGTTCTTGAGAGAAATTAAGTGCATGGAACATCCTGAAAGTGCTCAATTACGCCTTTTAAATTAAAGTGAAGCTTAAGTTAAAATAATTTAATGTCCCGAGGAAAAAAAATGATTCAATCTTGGAATGTTCTGTTGACTACAAATAAACTCTCGTGTGTCCCATCTTTTATTGATGCTTGGATGATGGTTAAAAACAGAGGCCGTAATTTTTTCGGCAAGAACCTTGAGAGAATCTTTCAGAAGCAACTGACAGAAGTGTCTGTCACAAGACAAAGCACTGGATTAATAGGTAGCCTTGTGTGGTGGGCTCAGTAAGGGCCCCAAAGACACCCAGGTCCTAATCCTGGAATCTGTGGATCTTATTTTGCATGGTGTCAGGGACTTTGTAGATGGGAGAGAGGATTCTGAGATGGGAAAATTATCCTGAATTATCTTGATGGGTCCTAAATGCAATCACAAGCGTCCTTGGAAGAGGGAGGCAGAGAGAGAGAGACTTGAAGATGCCACACCACTGGCCTTAAAGATGGAGGAAGAGAACATGAGCCAAAGAATACAAGGAATGCAGCTCCAGAAGATGGAAAAGGCAAGCAAGGGATTGAAGTCTCCCTAAAGCCTCTGGAGAGAAGGCCTGACAACTCGACTTTAGCTAGGTGAAACTGATTTTGGACTTTTGGTCTCCAGAACCGTAAAGAGAATGCATGCCTGTTGTTTTAATTCATCAAATTCTGTAGTTGTTATAGTTGCCACAGGAAACTAATTCACCTTGGTTATACAGTTTAGAGAAGGTCAGTGAAATCTGACATGCTAGTTACTACAACATTTAATTTTTTTTAAGATTTTATTTATTTATTTGACAGAGTGTGTGTGTGCAAGCAGGGGGAGCGCCAGGCAGAAGGAGAGGGAGAAGCAGGCTCCCCGCGGAGCAGGGAGCCCCATGTGGGGCTGGATCCCAGGACCCTGGGATCATGACCAGAGCTGAAGGCAGACGCTTAACCGACTGAGCCACCCAGGTGTCCCAAAACACTTAATTTTATACTGGCTCTTGTGATCATAAAATTGAGTTTCTAACTCTGTCTACTGAAAAGGGACAAAGAGCTTTCCTTTCAAAACGAAATGGGGTTTATTTTAATGGTTCTAAAGTCTGTTAACTTTGTAACCTTAAAATTATGAATGCCTGTTCCTGAAAATAGGATGTTTGTTGCAAGAAACAGTGAAGGCTCATTTGCCTTCAGTGAACTAAGCTGAGCAAAGTTTAACCTTATAGCGGCCTTGGGATAACTACCCCAATAGGACCTCCGTTGCTTTGGTTCTAATAAACTCAACCAGATACCGAACCCTGGGAGGATTCTCTAGGATGAGGAATTCAGCCTTACAAGATTCCTTACAAAAGTCATTTTACAGGGCGCCTGGGTGGCTCGGTTGGTTAAGCAACTGCCTTCGGCTCAGGTCATGGTCCCAGGGTCCTGGGATCCAGTCCCACATCGGCTTCCTGCTCCGCGGGAAACCTGCTTCTCCCTCTCCCTCCGCCTGCCACTCCCCCTGCTTGTGCTCGCTCTCACTGTCAAATAAATAAATACAATCTTTTAAAAAAATCATTTTACAAATAAAATAAAGGGACTGCAGTAGTTCGATTTTGTAACACAATGCAGAAACGTTTTGCCCAGTGCAACTGCGTTGTAAGTATTAGTCTGAGTAAAGACCACTCTCCAACAATGGAGCTGTCATTACTTGTGGGGAAGTGAACACTTTGCAGTGATTCCTGGGAAGGTCAATCGACCACGATGCCTCCTAGACAGACACGCAGGTGGACACCGCCAGTGCGTCGGAGCAGTGCTCCAGGTGTCCAGGTGCGGGGGCAGGAGCGCGAGCCGTCTCGCGGACCGGCCGGCCACCCCAGGCGCTTACCCCGCGGACCACTGCAGCACGTCGGCGGGCTGCGTGCGGATCGCAGCCTTGGTGAACTGCTTCAGGATGTCCGGCAGCTCCGGGGGAATGCGGATCTGCTGCGCGCAGAACATGGTATCGGGAAGCGGCATCGCTCTCCGCAGGCCGGGACGAGGCTGGGAAGAATCAAGGTGTGCTGCGGGGAGCGGGGGACGGGCCGGTGAGCCTCGGGGCGCGGGCGCCCCCGAAGGGCCGGGCCGCCCTGCCTCCCCCGGATTTGGAGCCTGGAGGGGGACCGGGGTCTGTGGCGGGGCCGGGCTTGGGCGGGCTAAGAGGCCGGCTTCGCGAGGTCCGGGCGGCCGGCCGGGGCTCTCACCCGCTGCTCCTCGGGCTCTTCGGAAAGTGAGGGCCAACTGCCCCTTCTAGCGACAGCCGGGAAGCGCCCCCGGCAGCAATGGTTTCACAGAGGTATCCCAGCAACCGCGACGCCTGACGGCCCCGCCTCCTGGCTCCGCGCAGGCGCACACGCCTCGGGCCCGGCCGGGCCGTCGCAGGCGCGGGCCTGGGAGGCGGCGCTTGCGCAGGTGGGGCTCCGGCCCCTTTTTGCCGCTGACTGGCAGTTACGGGCGGCAGGAGCTGAATGTTTCACCTAGAAAAGGGCCTTTTGATCGATTTCCCGCTGCCCAATGTGAAGGGCGAATTCACGAAGGACCGCCCTCCCCCACTTCCCCTTGCTCTGGCTACGTGAAGCTTAAGGACGAGATGACTCTCGTCCTCGGTAGGAAGCCGTTACAATCATGGGGTCTGGTCGGGGCAGGGAGCACGAGCCCCGCCCACTCCCCCCGCCCCCGCAAGAAGGACCCTGGCCCTCCTTCCTCCACGGCCTCGCTCATCCTGCCCGAGCCCCTGTCTATGCAGCAAACCGTCCCGGTCTCCAGACCTTCACACATGGCTGTTCTCATTGCCCATTCGTTCTTCCGATATAAGAGCCCCTCAAGAGTTTAGAGAGTGGGCGATTTTCAGCTCAAGGAAGATTCTGTTTAACTTGTTTTCCTAAGCGAGACAGAATGGTTGAGCCTGGTTGGGTCTAGAAAACATAGGGCGCGTCTTCGGATGCAGTAGCTATGGGTCGAAGGGCAGGAGAACTGCTCCGTTCTGGTGAATCCAGGGCAGCGTACAAGGTGTGAATCATAGCTGCGGCTACCCTCAAACCCACTCTGAATGAATGAAGCCCTAAAGCCCGCCTTCCCCTGCTCACCTCCGGCCAGGAAGATGGAGAACGAGAATGAGCTATTGCCAGGAGGAGTCAATGACAAGCCCTTCCTCCTGCCCTAGAGGCATCACCCCCAACCGTGACTCCAAATTAACAGCACGTGCAAATTAACAGCACTAGCAAAAACTGAAAACAGTCACTATTTAATGTTGATACAGTATGGGAAAACAAGGAATCTCATACAGTGATGAGAGTATTAATTAGTACATTTTGGGGGCCATTTGGCACTATATTTTGATGACTTAGCAATCGACAGATTTATCCTACAGAAGTACTAGCCTGAGTATATAAAGTAATGTGGACAAAAATGTTTACTAAAGCACACAGTAAAATGGGTAAACTGTCTTTTAGAAAACTTAAATCATAATCGTATCCACACAACAGAATACAATTCAGCCAGAATTTTAAAATGAGGTAGCTACTTAAGTATTGACATAAAAAGATGTTCATGAAATATAAAGAGAAAAAAAAGCACCCCATAGAGCAGAGTCTGTGATAATAGGAGTTGAATGTACATTTGCCCATAGCACATTCTGGAAGCAAACACTAAACTCCTGACAGGGGTTACCTCTGAAAATTGGCACATAGCTTTCAAGTTTTATTTTAACCATATACACATTATTTTTATTCTGATTCATCCATTTATTTACTCGAGTATTGAATGCTAAATATGTCCCAAGAACTGTTCTGAAATATAGTAGTAATCCCCAAATAGTTTTAAAAAAATCTCTGAAGCTTCAGTTCAAGTGGGGTAAAACATACAAATATAAATAAGACAGGAAAACCATGTGATGTGTTAATACATACGAGAGATAAAACACAGCAGAAGAGTCAGGAATGCCCCAGTAGCTGCAATTTTAGGAATGACACTTCAGTAAAAAATGAAGAGCTTGGGGAGAGCCTAGATGAAGAACATTAAGGCACAGCAAGCAGCAAGTGCAAAGGCCCTGAGGTTTGACCTGTTCTGGAAGCAAGGAGGCTGCCAGGAGCACAGTGAGCACAGGGGGCCTTAAGGCAACTGTGAACTTGGGACTCTGAGTGTGATAGCTCTCTGAGTAGAGAACTAATGTGATCTTAGATCTGAACATGATCATTCTGGATTCCGTGTTGAAAATAAATGGAAGAGAGACAAGAGAGTGTGGGCAGAGGCCGGGAGCTCAGGAGAAACTGCAGTGACCCGGGCAGGAGAAGGAGGGTGGTGCTCTGTACCAGGATGGTAGCAGTAGAGGTGGTGCAATGTAGCCAGAATCCGATTCATTTTTGAAGACTTGCTGTCCAATTGTATGTGAAGGTTGGGAGAGAAACAAGGGTCAACGGTATTACCAACATTCTTTGTTTAGCGATTTTCATCCAACTGCTTACCAACCGAAATGGGGACGTTTGAGAAAATAGATTTGGGGTAGGGGCATCATGAGTTGTGTTTTGGACCGAAGTTTGAGATGTCTGAAAGAGTCCACATAGGTGCACAGACATGTCTGGAGTAAGTATGTGAGTGATCCGCATACAGATGGCCTTTAAAACCACGGGAGTTGAGTGAGATCACCAAGTCAATGGGTGTAGGTAGAACTGAGGTCCCAGCTGAGCTGGGCTGACAAGATAGGGTCAGTGACGGAGTTTGGAAAGGAGAATCCAGACAGGCAGGAGGAAAATGAGGGCAACGCTGTGTCCTGACAACCAGGAAAATGGTTTCACTGGAAAGAGGAACCAACCATTTCAGGTGAGAGCTGAGAAGGAACCACATCATTTAGTGGTGGCCATTCGCGACCTTCACAGGAGCAATTCCAGTGGAAAAGTGCAGCAAACATCTGATTGTAGCAGGGCTGGAAAAGGAGAGGAAAAATTGGAAAGAGTGAGTAGAGATAGCTGTTTGAAGGGCTTTGCTGGAAAGGAACGTGAAATGGAGCAGTTGAAGGAGTTAGTGGGGTGGAGATTTTTCTTGTGGAAGAGATGATACAACATCTGAATGATGGGAATGACCCACCACCACTTATGAGGGAGAGGGAGAACTGCAGAGCAGTGCCTCGAGCAGGTGAGTACTGTGATCTAGTGAGCCCGTGCAGGGTGGGGGGACCCAGGGATTGCACGTGGGCCCGGGGGCAGTGTGCATACGGGGCACGCACGCTGGAGGGGACGTGTGCAGCCTGCACAGCCTGGGGAGCATATGGGTGCAGGTGCAGGTAAGACAGTAAATTGACAATGTGAATTTGTGAAGACTTGTTCTGATTGCTTCTGTCTTCTCGGTGAAATAGAAATGAAAAGTCATCAGCCAAAAGAGAGAGAAGAAAGGTATGAAATGACCCCTTAGAGAACATATATGAACACTGGTTATTACTTTTTGAGACTGAGATGTAATTAACATGCAATGAATTGCACAAATGTAAAATGTACAATTTAAGTTTTAGCATATGTATACATGTCAAACCAGAAGCACATCAAGATAACAAACACATCATCCCATTTCTTGATGCCCCTCTGAAGTCCCTCCAAGCCCCTCCCCACCGATCTGTAGGTCTGCTTTCACTCAGCATTGAGACTTGTCCATGCTGTGTATATCAAATTAATTGTTTAAATTGCTGAGCGGTATCTCATTGCATGGATGGTCACTTATCTATTTACCTGTTGATAGGCCTGTGGATTTCCAAGCCTGTTTCCAGCCTTGAGCTATTACAAATAAAGCTACTAGGAATGTTCATGTATGAGTCATCATATGGACTTACTTTTTGCTTGGTCAATAACTAGGATTGCTAAGTACTTATTGTAAATGTTTTCAGAACTGCCCAACTATTTCGCAAAGTAGTTATACCACTTTGCTTTCATACGTAAAAAGAGAGATTTCAAAAAGATTAAACCGTATAAAGCAGTGTAAAGGGGACTTGCTATCCCCAGGCTCCTGGTTGTCGCTGAGTGAGGCACACCGCAGGAGGCTGGAGCAGGCCTGGGGCACGGCCGAGCACTACAGAGTGCCCAGGGGGACCCTGCTCTGCATTCCTCAGTCATACCTGGTCATGCTAGTCATACCTAGTCATACCTGGACTAGAACCTTCTGCTCGTTTTTCTGGCCCTTTCCACTCTAAGGGGCTCCTTGAAGGCAGACACCATACAGCGATTCAACTGTAGTGCTCAGTACAGTGTGGGAAGGAAAATAGACACCAAAGCCAGAACACTGTGGGAGGAGGAGGGGAAAGAGTTACCTCCTCAGACCTTAATCCACTTACGCCATCAGTGTTCTGTTGGCAACAAGAGGGGCTCTACAGCGCGGGGTATGAGGGGCATTACCGGTTACTTTCTGAGATCCACCATGCAATTTCCTTTGCTGTGAAACTTCAACCTCACAGATTACAGATGCCCTGTGGTTCAAAGAGCATTTCTCCTACCACTGCTGCATTGAAAATAAAAATGCACTTGATTAAAAAGAAATTTTAATAAAGTTTTGAACCTAGAAACAGAAGGATCTGTTCACATGGGGCTTCATGCAATTCCTTCCTTTTTCTCTGAGACTTACAGTCAACTACATAAAATGGACTTGACTAGTTTTACTCCAAGTATCCACTTAAAGAGAAAACCTGGTGAGGCTTTGGCACATGGATCCTGTAACCAGGTGCTGAAGTGGGTAGCATCTTGCCTGCAGCTTGAGAAGAGGGCCTTCACTATTCCCAGTGATGCTGGTCTATTAGTACAGTGAGGGGGCAAAGGGGAAGGGATGTGTTCTCTGCAACTCTACTTTAGAACTTAGAACAGAAGAGAGGAACTATAATCACATGTAACTTCTTTTTCTATGTAACTATATTAAAAAATACCTAGATCATCTATCTATGCCGATTAATAATGCACATTTCTGTAATTCTGAAGCAATCTTACAATGAAAAAAAAAAAAACAAAAAAACTAGGCTACAACTAACATTCACTTTATTCAATTTTGTTCTCTTGACTTAGAAGGCAACAAACCACCACATAAAAAAGGGAGCATTTTAGAATATATACACATAAAATTGGTCTGGGTATCTAAGGTGTTTGCTTTAATAGAAAATTGATGTCCCAAATAACTACATGTTCTATTTACCCTCTAAGACAATCATTCCTAGGCCTTACACAGTCATTACATTTCCATTACGGTACTACTTTACTCTCATGACAGAACGAGGCACTCATACAAAACAGATGGGAATGAAAACAGATATACACTGTCCTAACTTTATTGTATCCATGCCAAACATATTGCTAGAGGTTTGAATGAAACCCTTACCTAAAGTGGTTGCTTTTAAAAATGACACAGGGCAGTAAGAGGGAGAGAAGGAAACGTGCCCAAATTAATAAGGAGATACAGACAGCCCGAGGGAGTTAGAGAATCTCCACAAATGAGGTTTTTAATAATACTTTGGTGGCAAGACATTTTACTTTTGTCTCTTCTTGATGGGAACTGAGTAGGCAACATTCTAAAGGAGTCTTTTAAACATAATCATTTCATTTTACAATGTATAAAACTGGTCATTAGAGCTTAAAATACTCAATCCTGAAAGTGAGAAGAATAGGTAGCTAACTTGTGAAGTTGAAAAAAGTGCCAGTGTTCTTAAGACTGGCGCTACATTCTCGTGTGTGTGCGCACACGCACGTGTGTTGGGGGGGTGTAAACACAATACAATGGAGAAATGTCCACTGCTTCTTTGTTTTAAAAAGTCATGAATTCAACCTAAATTCAAGAGTTACATTTTAATAATAGCATTTGCCAATACAGAAATGACATCTCTAAGACCAAATCATTTAAGAAAAAGTTATTCTCTATTACTTGAATAAGGGAAAGAAAAAAACACAAGAATCCACAGTAATAACAGCTATATTAGATGTTGAAATAAAAAATTACTTTTTGTTTACATCTGGAATTGAGATGTCCAATTTCCACTGTTTCTCCAGCAAACAGGAAAAAAATCACCTAAAAACATGGAACTTTAAGGCTAGCTATACATAAACTTCACATTGGCATTTTCTTCAGTTTTCACCTCAACTATTAGTATTTAGTAGTTTAAAAATCAAACATAATTTGCTAATAAGGAACAACTGCACACTTCATACTATGACCATTTGATAAGTGGTCATGTGAAACTAACTCCCAAATGTTGATTTGTCTTCAATTTATAAAGTTAAAAATAAAGCAAAAAGGTCCTTCCTAATTAACTTCCTTGAAGACATGTAAAATGAAGCAAAACTATGTTTTTGTTTTTGTTTTTTTTTATTCATGAGAGAGAGAGAGAGAGAGAGAGAGAAGCAGGCTCCCAAGGAGCAGGGAGCCCGATGCGGGACTCGATCCCAGGACCCTGGGATCATGACCTGAGCCGAAGGCAGACGCTTAACCATCTGAGCCACCCAGGCGCCCCAAAACTATGCTATTTTATATAAAAAAAAAATCTACAGGAAGAAGGGCAGCAATACTAGGACTTTCTGAACTAGAGGTTTCAAATGTTTATAAGACTGTTGGTTAATAATAAAATCCTGATGCTACCCATGTAAATATTATGCCAGCAAATGCTTTCCTTACGGAAGTATTCATCTGATCGAAAAGAGGACAAAGCACAACTGAAAACCAAGAGGAAATCCTTAAGTACAACAAGATAAAGTTATCACCAGTGAAATGGAGGGCAACTTTTGGCCATTCATACACATTCATATATAAGTTTGGTTTGGGTTTTTTTTTGTTTGTTTTTGTTTTTTTTACAAAATATCTGGTAAGATTCATTTAAAATTCTGTAGAATAACAATTTTTAATCTTTTATGGTATCTGCCTAGAGCTCTTCCTGGTAAAACAGATAAATGTGTTCCAATGACTTTATATCAAGATCTACAAATTCTCTGAAAAATTAAAAAAGAAATTTAAATTAATATAATCAAGTTATGTGACCAATTGATAATATTTTTCTCCCAAAGAGAACAATTTATATAGAAACACACCACAACAGGTGGCATTACATTTTAAAATGCTCTTAATTTTTTAAAGTAGGACTAAATTTCTAAGTAAAGGTAGGGTTAGCAAAGACCTTATTTCAGATTACAAGAGAAAGGACTGCTACAAAGTGCCAAGAAGTGTAACACTGAACCGTAAGTCAAGCTTTTTTTTTTTTTTGATACTGATGTTTTAAAATATATTTTTAAAGTAAAGTAATCACCACACTTTGGGAAAAATTGTTGAAATATAAAACAACCAGAACATGTTTGTTTTGGTAGCTGATGTTTGGCTGACTTTAATATTTAAAAAACCTTCAGATTAGACTCTATACATTTTAATACTATACGGAAACTCTTTAAGAGTTCCTGAAGACCTATGCTGTCCATTTTTCTCTGAGAATTTCTAGGTTATTATTCAAAAGCAAACACCACCCTTACAATATACCATTACCATTAAATACTTGGATCATGTGCCCAACTGTTCTATTTCTCTAAACTCCTTACTTGAAGCTTTGGTTATAAGGGGAAACCAGATTTATAAGTATTCAGTTTTCTGAGATTTTACAACACATTTCCAATGAAATACATTCTTCACTCCTATGTTAAAAGGCCAGCTCAAGCCAGCTTCCTTCTGGACAACTACAATCAAATTGGTTTTATTTGTAGTTCAATTCTGTAAATAAAAAGCTCTGGCAACTTTGGGATTTACTCATGGAAAACTAGGAAAAATGTACTCCCTAATCCTCACCCAACGGTGCACTAACCAGCAGTACCAGGTGTTCTAACCAGTCTTCTCTAATGCTGCTGGTCTAAGACCACAAACCATATCTACATTTAAGAAACATCTCCGTGTGTTCTAATTCCAGTATGATGCATTGTTGGTGATGTTATTTTATAAGACTTGTGATCCTGCATGACTTCTGGCCACTGCTGCCAAAAAGGAAAAAAAGACAGCTGTGTATGGAAAAGGGGGGCTGGAGGGAACTAATGAAAATGTTCTTGTGGACTTGTTTTCTCTAAACACAGACATGCCCCTAACAAGCACAAAATCCCAACCCCTAATGCTGATCACTTGGAATATTAAATTATCAAAATTAAAAATAATTTCCTCACCTAGCACAAGATACTATACAATATTATAAACACAGACATGTGAAAAAAAATCAAGCAGTAGAAAATGTACAACAGCTTTGGTGCTATACAAAATAACTTCCAAAAACGATTGACAGTGAAGCACAGAGTTCATGTTCTCTTACCACAAACACTCCACTGCTGATTTCTACTTGTTTCCTTTCAAGTTCTTGGTGAGGTCTGAACAGCCAAGAAAGACAGAATGTACAGTTTACTTAATACGAACCGCTAGGAACACCATGATACTTGCGCTCCAAAAGACGTCATTAAAAAGTCTTGCCTTTGCACTATGGCTCTGTGGCACGTTTCCTGTCAAGATCACAGCAGGTCCAAAATAAAGTGACAACTAGATTTAATAAATTAATATACATTTTGTTTAAAGATGTACAATGCACATTCTGTTTAATCCAAGGTTTTAGGGTATCCAGGAACTTCTATTTACACATGTACAGATCTCAGACAGCTATGATGTCGGAAGATGCAGGAAGGGCAGCAGAGCCTTGCACTGCTGCTCTCTGAATGCTGAGAACACAAGTCAAATACAGTTAACTTAAAAACAATGCTGAGAGATCACTGGGAAAAATCTCCAAAGAGAGAAGTCCACAAAAAAGGACACGTAAAGGCAAGGGGAAGGTCAAGGTAGTTGAGACAACCACTTTATTCTTGGGACGACTGTGGAGGTGGCGGAGATGTGCCTTGTTTGCCAGATTTCCGTTCATAATTCACGAGGCGTTGGCCCACAAGGTATCTAGGTTGTAAAAACAGGGTGGTTACTCTTACATGATCTTACATACTTAAACATTCTTCCTAAGAGCAGCCAGTGATACAGTTTTTAAATGCAAATCAGATCATTCCCACTTAAAACCCTGCAATGGTTAGATCGGTAGAAGGGAGCTCGAGAATGACCACCTGGCAAGAGGCGCACAAGCAGGCACCTCACAGGGAGTTGCAGGCCAGTGGGAAAACAGGAGAATGGCAGATGTTGGAAGGTCTCAGATGCTGGGCAATGGAGCATGTGCTCTGGTCCATATGTCAGGGGTTCTCACAAACTCACACACTTGGGAGGTAAGGCACAGTAAGCTTTTTCAGGGGATTTCTCTGGTAAAGATATTTTATAAAACAGCTTAGTGGACAGATCTGAAGAAAAACAGACTAGAATTATGGCCTTCAGAAAGCTAAGTAGGGAGGCAAGTGGACCGGAAAACCTCTAGCTCTAGAGAAAAGGAGAAATCAAAGGGCAAAGTTTTCAATGAGGTCAAAGGGGAAATGGCAGAGAGGTGAGTGAATGCAAGGAACAGAAGGCAGGAGGTTGTGGCCCAAGAACAGAGCACTGTGTGTTCCTAACTCACATGTTATGATGAGAGGGAGGAAAGGGCCAAGGATAGAGCCGCTGCAGAATTAGAAACAGAAGTGACCATGCTGGAATGACAAGATGTCACATCCCCAGGACGACAGCAGTCTTTTGTGGAGAAGCAGTGGTGTGCCTCACTAAATGGGGGGATTGGCCTGCAGGTTGACCCTCGGAGGACAGTGGCTGACCAAGCTGAGGATGTCGCAAAGAGCTCCAGGAGGCCGGGGTGACAGATGCCCATTTGGAGTCAGCACTGCAGACTAAGGAGTGGCCTGTAAGTCCTTAGCCACCTGTGCAAGCAGGGGAGAGTGAAGCCAGCCCGTGACAGGGTGGCCCGGGAGCTGGGTCTTTGAGACCCAGTTTACTCATCAATAAAGTAAGAACAACAGTACCATGTCCCATGATCACTGTAAGAAACAGAAAGCATACAAAGGCCATGGCAACAAAGGCCTGGCATGTGCTAAAGACTCAGGGTAGAAACTTTCACCATTACTTTTTCTTTTTCTTTTTTTGACCATTACTTTTTCTACCTTGACTTTCACCTACCACTTTTCCGCTAATAAATACTAGCCTAATGAGGTATTTTGGCAGTTTATGCCAAGTAGCTTAATGTGTCACTTTTTAAAACATTTCACTAATCCTACGGTTTCTTCATCCATGATCCCACTGTTTAATACTTTGTCTTCCCAATTCTTTTCTAAAAGTTTACGACTCCTTTCCACACTGTTCCCCAACTAACAAGTGGATTTTTAAACTGTGAGAATTTTGTAAGTGTTTTAAACAATGACAACTGAATTGACTCTAATGTAATACACACAGGTCTACCTGACATACACGTCATCACAAAACATACCAAGTCACGTCAAGCGGTTAGCATTACAGCAATGAAAAGCATAGAAAGAAATGGTGTGAGTTAACTTGCCCAGGACCAAAAAGTAACTCAGTGGCAGAAAAAGGAGACTCTGAACACATCCCCCACTTTCCCTAATGCCCCAGCACCCTCTCGTGCCCTGGCCGGCCCCACGCACACCCCACGCTCAAATACTGCTAGAGAACAGGTAAACAACAGCACCCAAGATGGGGCCTCTAGGGAGCCTGCACTTCAACAGTTTTCTACAGGAAGGAACAAA